TCCAATTCTTACCACGAATAAATGTAGTAATGGTTAAACGGGTTTATTTTTTTTATTTTTCATAATTTAACCTAAAATACACGCAATGCGGAGAGCTTGAAATGTTCACACTAAAGTTCAAATTAATGCCCGTTTCACAAGAGGGCAAAACAGTTTGACAGTAGAATAGGATATAATAGTGGTGTAGTCGCTTGATCACAGACGCGGAGACGGAATAGTACTGTCCTCAGAGTACGTGCATTCAAACTATAGCAGTACTGTTACTGAATACTACTCTAAGTAATTGGTCTACCCTCGTGAAACTAGCATCAGGTAGGTCTGTGCGTGGCGCAGCATCCGGCACACAGCATTACAGGCGTCGGCTGAGCAAACACATCTGCCACCCCTCTCCGCCCCCTTACACGCATGCCCTGGATTTTTTATGTCCATAAATGAAATTCTAACCTAGACAATAGCAAGTCATATGTGCGAAAATGTAAATAAATTATTTTAGAATATGTTACGGACTATTAAAATTATGACAAGAATAACTTTGCGTGTTTCAACAACGCGGTTTTATATTTTTGCTTCATTAAAAAATATACCGCAGTCTATTTCTCATTAAGAATTCAACATAACTTTTATTACTTTAAAATTTTCATACAATTTAACTTTTAATTGATTCAAAAACATTGAAAATAATAGACAGCAAATACGAAAAATGGCGTTTAAACCACATTGCATTGCGGAATTTGTGCTCGTAACGACGCCGTAATTTGCAGATGGATTTGGATTGCAGACACGAATTCGAAACGCGGATTTGGGGAAATGTTGCCTTGTTTCAAAGCTGTGTTAAAGTTGATCAAAAGTCGTGGTTTTTTGCCTTTTTAAGTCAACATTCGTTTGACAACATTAAGATGTAATTTATACTTATGTGGTTTGTGTGGTTTCCGTAGTGTGATGGATATCTCGAGTACTTCACATGCACAAGAAACCCGGTTCGATCCCGGGCGGGAACATTTTTCCTTGAAATTGTAATAACGTAACTCTCCTGTAACCTACAAAATTAATAATAATTTCGTTACATACATCATGATTTGTCGTTGTTTAATAGTAATACTTCTCTTAAATTTCCGACCATAATGTTACTCGAATTTTTTATCTTTAAATGAAAGAAAATTGGTAGAATTTATTGTTAATACTTTACAATTTTTTTGTTTCTCCATGGTCTAGAAACACATTTCTTTAGTATTATTTTATAAGTGACTTGAACAATTTTTGTGTAATTAAAAAAAAGTTTCTTTAATTTCGATTGACTTAACCTTTTTTGGAATAACTTTCTCATTTTAATAATTTCGTTTGACTTGAAAATGGTACATTTAACTATTCCACAATACAAATTGAGCAAAATGCATTTCGTAGTACAAATTTGCATTTTAAAAGGCTTGTCTCAGCAACGCAGTGAATAATGCAGAAGATAAAGGATTTCAGCGCGACGCGACAACAAATTAACGTTTCACAAATTATTTCTTAATGCTACAGAATGTTACAATTTGTAAATAAACTGTTGTTTACTATTTTCTTTATTTAAACCAATGCAAATCCTAATTATTAAACATATTAATGTAGGATAAGGAGGTTATAAGAGGTTATAAGGAGGTTAGATATGTTTCTTTTTAATATGTTTTCTTTTTAATTGATTTCGAATTTTAAACTTTTATACGTTGGTTTAAAATTAGTTTTAAGTTGAGAGTCGGAGAAAAAAAGAGGAACGACGATGTAATAAGATGTGTTTTTTTGTAAAATGGTGTAAATATTAAAAACAGCGATAGTTAACGAGTTTATTTTTATTTGATCGAGCCACAACCCCACATTAATATAGCCTGTGTTACTGTGATAAAGTCGCTTTCTAATGGTAAAAGAATTTTTGAAATCGGCCCAGTAGTTTTTGAGTTTGTTGTTAATATACAAAAATACTATTCGTTCCACATTATATATTGAGGGACTGACCCACCAAATTGTAAATTGTCTGATAACAATCCAACTTTTAAAATATGTGATGGAAATATCGGATTTTGTTCCCTTATCTGACATCATTTTTAAGCTAGCTGAGCCTTTATCACCCAGTGGTGGGACAGGCCCTAAGTATACATTTACAATTATATAAATTACATAATGATATTGAAAACTTTTTACCCTTATATACATAAACAATATATTTAAAAACCTAAATGGTGCCTAAAGCAATCGAAGTGTAAACTCATGAGATACCCTTTAGACAGGAGAAGGCGCGCCAGACAAGATTAATGGCGCGTACGTGGCCATAACTTGCAAAGGCTAGAATGTAAAAACAAATAAGAAATTATGGAGCGTTCCTACATTCAATATCCCTATTTTCTATTTGTCTATAATTTAATCTGCTTAAACAATTACAAAATCACTAGCTGTCGCTCGCGACTCCGTCCGGGTGGTATTAGAAAACAGACGAACTATGTAAATTAGAAAAAACTACATGCCCTTGGGAACCGGACATTTTCGGGGATGAACCTTATCTTATGTGTACTCCAGACTTTGTTTTATATCTGTGCCAAATTTCAATAACATATGTTGAACCGTTGCAGAATTATCGAATATACATTTAAAACTAATAATGCATCCCACGGGAACCGTAACTCTTTTCGGGATAAAAAGTAGCCTATACGTAAGTAGACTAAGCTCTACGTCTGTGCCGAATTTCATCGAAATCCGTTCAGCCGTTTAGACTACGAAATCTAACAAACATCCATTCATCCATCTAAGTATTATTATAAATGCAAACTATTGCATTTATAATATTACTAGCTTTCGCCCGCGACTCCGTCCGCGTAGAATTAAAAAAACAAAAATAAGTAGCCTATGTGTTCTTCCAGACTATCCTCTAGAACTATGGCAAATTTCATCGTGATCCGTTCAGCAGTTTAGGTTTTAAACTCTAACAAACATCCATCCATCTAAACTTTCGCATTTATAATATTAGTAGTTAGAAGTAAGATCTATACAATTCATATACGTTTTAATTAATAAAAAAATAAGAGTTTATTAGAAGTAAAATGGCACGTACTCTGTCGTGCTTATATTCAAATGAAACAAAATAAAACTACAAGTTACACATTGTAAGGGATACATTGTACTTCAGTAACAAGTTGGGAAGGACAATTATCAAATTAGGGCTTTCAACAATTTCAGTAACACCTGTTGCTAATACCTTAATTAAAACTTTAACTTGAAGAGTATCAATTTGTATTTATTAAGTGAAAACCATTAATTACAATTGTTTATTGTTTAAAATTGTAATTCAAGGCATTAGTTCCACTCGAAGTATTTAAACTAATTAGCCGAAGTTTTTGTAAGTATTTATCTCTGTTTCAAACAAAATAAGCGGGATTAAAATTTTATATGACACTAGATTTCGCCCGCGACTCCATCCGCGTGGTATGAAAAATAAACAAAAGTGAGTAGCCTATGTGTCCTTCCAGAGTATCCTCTACATTTATACCAAATTTCATAGAAATCCGTTCAGCCATTTAGATAGAGATCCATCCATATAAATTTTCGCATTTATATTATTAATATGATATCAAACATTTCTGTATGAGTTTTTTAATTGAGGAAACTTACAGTATATTCTAATTATACTAGTAAGAAATTTATACTCCAAATGTAATTAACGGCTACGTTTATACCGAATATTAGAATATAGATTGTTTGGTGAAATGATTAACGATTTTATAATTAAATCGCTCCCTATCGTTAATTTCGGAGTGACGCTTCTCGGAGAGATTGATTGTTATTGTAACTTTTAAAGACTAATCAGATTTGTCCATGTTTTGTTTTGCGAGTTAAACAATGTTAATGACTAACTATTTCAAAAGCCGAAAGGTAAGCGTATGTTAATTGTACTCGGAAGGAAACAATTGCAAGAATATCGTACGCGTAATATGTAACGAACTAAGGTTCTATCACGAAAATTTACGTAGCTAGAATGCTTGCGTAATGTCATGGACAAAATTAGTATGAGATGTGTTGGCACTTCATGTACACCTCTGGTGTGGATAACGATAACGAAAATACTCTCACGAATATTCATGATAAGCCCTATGTAATCTGTAATCATTAACCTGTACATTCGGTCAAGTTTTAGAATGGCTTTTAATATCTATTTAAAGATTGTTGATATCACAAATTCTATATTTTCACCATTGTCAAATATGACAAAAAGAATCTGTTTTGTTATTCAAATTCCAGTTGTACGGTTCTTTTATCTGTCCTTTTAGCTTTGTACATTTTTAGCATTATAAAAATGTATCGTCTTTGTAAAGGAATATCTCTGAATCTCTGAAATATATCGTACATTGTACTATTTAATGTTTATTTTATTGTTATTTTTAATCAAATTATATACTTTTAATATAAACTATACGTGCTTAGTATACTCAACATGTATATAACGTCATATCCTGTTTGGATGTCTGAATCAGTTATCAAGTCAGTATTGATTTACTCTAAACTAGTTAAACTTTGTCGGGCGTCGCCTAATTCATTTGAAAGCAATTTATTGAAAGGTCCGCTTTATTTGTTTTTATATTCATAAGAGATTTCTAGTATAAATCAACACACATTTTTTTAATTGTATCTAGAAAATGATTATTGTATACTGCATTGTAAAATTACACACAATACATAATTGTTAAGCAACGAAGCATATGAACAAATTATAGTCGTATTTATTGTGGACTCATCTAATAATAGTGAAGATTATACAGTCTCAGATATAAGACTTCATAGAAATTCTTCTGTTAGTTCCAACTAGAAAAAACCTAAGTTAGCTTACTGTGCTGTAATAATAATTTTGTAGTCGGAATTTAAAGATATCATATTTATTTTCAGTTAAGACGAAAAGTGAGATTTATAGCTTAGTGAAATTATAAAATTTTAATAATAATATATTTATTATTTTTAATTGAGCATTTGAAAATTTTAGTATGACGCTTGGTATTGCAACATTGTCTGTTATTACGAGTATAATATTAGTGGAAGGTGATTTTAACAATCCGCGGTACTATGATTTTGATGTTGGACTTTTATTAGATAATGATAGAATACTAATTAGTTACACAAAATGTTTCTTAGATAAAGGACCTTGTACACCTGACGCCAAAGAATTTAAACGTAAGTTATCCTTTGACAAGGATTTTTTTAATCCAATCGGATCAAATTCAATTTAATAGTGTTAGAGTCCGGTGTAACATCTTCGAATGGGTTCGCACGATGCAATACTACGACCACAAAAAACATGCGTAAAGTGGAAGTAACTCTGAGTTTGTTTTGATGTGTGTCCGTAACAGAGGCCTTATTTTACTCATTTCACCCTTTTCATACAAGGAACGGATTTACCGTTTGAAAACATTGAAATCTTAAAAATTTCAGATGATATCCCTGAAGTTTTACGAACTTCCTGTGGAAAATGTACAAACAAACAAAAGGAGATAATCAAACAAGTTATAGGAGCGGTGATGAAACGTCATCCCAAGTCTTGGGTACAACTCCTCGACAAATATGATCCAGAGAGCAAATATATTGACGACTTTAACAAGTTCATTGCAGAAGAATAATTTAAAGTTACTCTAATAATTGAGGTATATGTTACTTGAATACGAAGGAGCCAGCTGAAAATCAGCGCAGGAACGTCTTAGTCCCTCACGCTTACGCTGAGCTGGCTACTTTTTGCCACGATTGTTTGTTTTCTTTAGAATAAATCCTTTTATATATTTTTTTTTGTGACAATAAATACATATTAATTCATTTAAGTAATAAGAAAATTATCTTTATGTTTTTACCCTACCGAGAGAAAGGCAAGTTTGTCAAATTTGAATAAAAATGCTTTTCTTATTCAAGCTTCAACGAATTCGTAAAGCTGCTTAATATTATAGCAAAAGTAATAAAACAATCAAACATGAACTGTGATATTTTAAAACTAATTTATCTCTGTTTTATTATTGGTAACATTAATACGCGTAAATTTTTTTTTTAATTATTTAGCTTCAAATTACCAACCAGTGATGCAAGATAAAAATTAAAACTAAAATTTTCTGTATCTTCGACCGAGGTTGAAGTTCGTTTACATCGCAAGCTTAATGAATGCCTCTAATTAGTTCCAAAGGGAAATACATTTCGCAGTACATATCTGCATCGTACGAGGCTGCAGATTAAAATAAAATCTCTACTATTATAATAAAGCGTAAACACACACCTCTTTGTTGCCTAAGATGTCAGCAATTACAGCATATTTTTGAATAATTATTTTTTTAATAAAAAGCCCTACACTTACTGCATGCTTTAGGCAATATATTTTCATATGTAAAAAATAAAATCAATTTTCATAATTTCATGCGGATGAAGCCGCATGGGAACAGCTAGTAACAGTTAATTTTGTGTTTATAAAACATATAGATGTCAATGATATTGTAAAGTATATATCTTACTAATATTTTAAATGGATGGATGGATATTTTTTTAGAGTTTGTAGCCTAAACAGCTGAACGGATCTTGATCCAATTTAGAAAAGATGTAGAGAAGAGAGAGCCTGGAAGAACACATAGACTACTTTTTTAACATCACGCAGAGGGAGTCGAGGGCGAAAGCGAGTGTGTTATGAGAAAATAACAACTGCAATGAAAACAAATATAGGAAACGAAAATCAATCAACTATTATTATTATAACTCTGTTAACAGTTAGTAATATTTGTCTACGCCAGTCACCGTGTGGAGGTGGCACAGAGCAATAGACCCACGGCTAGTCGTTCTAGGGGAAATGGATCTATGTGACCACTGTCCATGAAAACCTTACCTAACTTTAGACATATGAATCTGCCGAGGTAAACGCTATCCGACTAAAACAATATCTTTCAACAATTCAATATTCTGAGACAATATTTACTGAGGATACAACTTAGAATAAGACCTGACAAATGTTTAGGAAGAGAAACCAGAGGTCTTGCTTCAGTAACACTTTAATAAGGCTTTATTAGTAAATAAACTAAATATTAAACTAAGACAACAAGCAAATAAAAGTAATGATTACATTATCTTCTATGTTTTCAATCTATACATGTAATAAAATTGTAGTGAAATTGCTGATAACGAAAATCGCATTAAATTTTTTTTCTGTCTGTCTGGTCGCAGTTTATAGACTACTATTTTATCTTAATATTACGTGGTGTTAATAATATAAAATAGAAGGATTTACAAGTAATAACAATGAATCAGTAGCTCACTTTGGATTGCTCTGTTTTAATCCCACTGAAAGTAATTATCCAAAGAAAATACGAGCGGCCGCTACATTTGTAAAACGAGTTTTTTGCTAATAAAACGAAGAGAAAAAGCGCAATTAGAGAGCGCGTACAGCTGTCGGCCTTTGAATTTTACTTTCAACAGTACTGTATTTACGTAACTTTTAGCTAAAATATGAATATATACAATCTTTTTATTACCTATTCGTGAGAAAACTGTCACCCACTAAACTACGAAAGTTTTGGAAAGGAAATTACGTGTCCAGCTATGTAAAGATGGATGATGGTGTGCTGAGAATGGATAACTTTGAGCAAGAGAATATTTGAGAAATTCTGATATTTCAACCACTCGCAGCGAAATAAGGAAGAATATTATTGTCGCAACATGAACATATATATGCAAGGAGATAAAAGAAAAAGACACAAGAAATAATAACAGTATATCAATATGTGGAAGAGGATGGTTAAATAATGGTTAAACAAGTGATTGAAATTGGATTCTGGCGTTTTCGCCATTTGGCGGATTCAGGTGGCAGCTTGCTCATTTGCCACCTAATGATATAAAAAAGCATATAGTAGTTGATGGAATTGTACATAAAAATAGTAAATTCTGCAATTGTAAGTGGAACAACGTATATTTCCGATTTTACGTATAGGGATAATTACGTATGTATGGGTTACATAATTTCTAAAATATTTTATCACAATAGACGACTTCATTGCAAAATATTTAATACTTCTACCTACGAGTTAATGTACCGTAAGCCGTAATAGCGACAATTCCACTAACACCGCTATAAATAACCTCAATATATCAGCAGTCTTACTTTTTATTGCTTTTTTAATATGTAACATTGTATATCTACAGCAACATCCTAAATATACTTCACCTTTTATGCGGATAATTAGAATTAACTATGAAAAAGGATCAGTTTTATTAAAATTGTACACATTTATTGTGTGCCATGTTTCTAAAATGGTTTGAATGTAATGAAGATTGAGGTGTTAAATTGATTTTTTTCCTTACTATTTATTATCTAACATTATTTCACATTTGAGTATTTTAGCAATTTATTCTACTCGATATGAAAGGTCGATATATTATAAATTGCGATAAAATTGTTGTATATTCTCACAAAGGATATTTTTACTTTGATATGTAAATATCTATTGAAAATAGGCGACGTATTTTTGCCGCGTGAAATAGAAATCTGAGGAAAATTGGATATGAAAACGTTCATGTATACGGTTTATTTGAAATCTAAAGATCGAAAAAGTGAGAAAAATTCGCTCTTAATTTTTATTTGTAATCCTTTTAAGAGTAATATATTTTAATGTTTACAATAAATTTTCATGAAATTGCTTACATCTAAGTACAAGAAAAATTAGAAGCGACAGTCAAATGGTCCTTCCATTCCATTGTTTCCTTTATTCCTCGTATTCCCTCTTCATTGTATTTTAATAAAATTAATTTTGATAAATATAATAGTATTGTATTCAAGTTAATAATATTTGTGATGATAAACAAAA